TTAGTAGAGACGGGGTTTCACCATGTTGACCAGGATGGTCTCGATCTCTTGACCTCGTGATCCACCCGCCTCGGCCTCCCAAAGTGCTGGGTTTACAGGCTTGAGCCACCGCGCCCGGCCCAGTCAGCCTTTTTCTTAATCTTCTTTTGTTTTCTGTGTAATATCTAGGCTGTTATACTTAGTCGAAAGAGTAAAGTACTTCTATTTATTTTCTCAGAAGTGAAAGTACCCCCAGTGACTTTTGATGTGTAAGCACTTTTTTTATGTGCTTAATTTTTTCCCATTTATTTGAGGGTATGGCTTTAAAAAAATTATTGAGATATAGGACTTCTTTATATATTCTAAGTGCTAGTCCTTTATCAAATAAACTTTGTAAATATTTTATTGTGGCTTGTTAATCATTTTCTTTCTTTCCTTCTTTTTTTTTTTTTTTTTGAGATGGAGTCTCACTGTTGTTGCCCAGGCTGGAGTGCAGTGGAACAATCTCAGCTAGCTGTAAACTCCACCTCCTAGGTTCAAGCGTTTTTCCTGCCTCAGCCTCCAGAGTAGCTGGGTTTGCAGGTGTCTGCCACCACACTCAGCTAATTTTTTTGTTGTTGTTTGTATTTTTAGTAGAGATGAGGTTTCACCATGTTGGCCAGGCTGGTCTCAAACTCCTAATCGTTTTCTTAACAGTGTCTTTTAATGAATCCAATTTTTCTTCTATGATCATTCTTTTTTCATGTCTGAGAAAACTTGGCCTACTCCCAAACTGTAAAGACATTCTGCTATGTTTTCTTCAAGTAGCTTTATACTTTTAGTATGTATGTTTGTGTCTGTGATCCATCTCAATTTAATTTTTGTATATGTTGTGATACAAAGATTGGGATTTATTTTTTAAATAGGGATGTCCAGTTCTAGTAACAACGGTTAAAGAAGATTTTTCTTTTCCTGTTGGATTATTTTCTTTTTCTCTGTTAAAAACATCATAGCGTAATTTGTATTTAATAGGATAGGTGAGATAGAATGTTTATGAGAAAAAATTGTAGAAAAAATTTTAGAGCTTGAAAACCCCATTTCAAATTTTTACCCGACCGTTTTGTGGCTATTTTCAGGTATTAACCTTTTTGAGCACAAACACCTTTATCTGTAGAATTGAAATAGTAATTATATCTAACTTACAGGGTTTGAGGGAGGTTTAAATGAGATAGCATATACTGATATTGATAAATAACTACCATCTTTTGAGTGTTTAAGATGTGTTATTTATTATTTTACTCAATATCTTTAAAATGTTCAGTCTAGGCTGGGCACCGTGGCTCATGCCTGTAATCCCAGCACTTTGAGAAGCCGAGGCAGGCAGACTGCTTAGCTCAGGAGTTCAAGATTAGCCTCGGCAACATGGTGAGACCCTGTCTCTACCAAAAAAAAAAAAAAAAAAAAAAAAACCCAAAAAAAAAAAAAAAAAAAAAAAAAAAAAAAAAATTCAGTCCAAAGAAGCATAGATTAAAGCACCTTCTATTTAATAGTGTATACCTGCACAGAGACAGATTTCAGTGTTTTCATTCCAGATGAATATCCTGAGAAATAACATGTTCTTATTTTCATTCTTCTACAACTGTATGTTTGTTATATATCCTTCATAGGTTTGTCAGTATATTTTTTCTTTCTTGAACTAGATGGAAAGTATGGTATTTTATTAAGAAGAATCTTATTAAAAACTTGGCTAACGAATGCTACCAGTCTTTTATTATTGTTTAGGGATAGTTTTAATAAGGCCTGAGTATTCCTTTCCTATGGCTACTGTAACAAAGTACTACAAACTGGGTGGCTTAAAACAAAAGAAATTTTTTCTCTCACAGTACTAGAGGCCAGAAGTCTGAAATCAGTATCACTGGACTAAAATAAGATTTTGGCAGGGCTGTGCTTTCTTTGGATGTTCTAGTGAAGTATCAGTTCCTTGCCTCTTCCAAATTCTGATGGCTTTGGCATTCCTTGACTTGTGGTCACATCACCTCTATTTTTAAGGCCAGAGTGTTCAAATCTCTCTCTTTTTCCATCTTTATACAACTTTTTTCTCTCTGTGTATAGCCTAAATCTCCCTCTGTCTCCTCATGAGGATATATTTGATTGCATTTAGAAACCACCTGGATAATCCAGGATAATACCCCTGTTTTAAGATCCTTAATAACATCTGCAAAGACTGTTTTTAAATTTTATTTATTTATTTTCTTCCATACGAGGTAACATGTACAGGGCCGATGTGTTAGGATATGGAGAATTTTTAGAGGGCCATTTTTTAAACCTACCTCAGTCTGCTTATATGTTTTTACTAGGATAATCTACTAAAACAAGAAGTAAAGTAAGAGCACTGTTTAGAAATGTAGCAACTTACTTTTTTTAAAAAAAAATATATCTAAGGATATAAAAAAGCAAAAAGAATCCTTCCAGTGAGTGCTTTGTAAACAATAAAGTAGAATAAAACTGTTAATTCTTACTACTGTATTTATGTGAGAGTTATGGGTAAAGTGTCAGCAAGGTTGTTAAAGAGAGTATGACCCAAAACATCAAGGAATGTAAGAAAGCTAACACTTTGTGTTTTCTTTAGTGTATCTGGTTGAATATCTGTTAAAATTTTATAAAGAACTAGATTAAAAGCTTATTATATTTTAAAAAATAATAAGTTGTTTGCCTTAAGTTTTAAAATCCTTACATTTGCCTCTTATTTTCTACCCGTCTCTTATCCCACTGTTTTAAAAAGGTGCCCCTTACTGAAGCAGTAGATCCAGTGGATTTGGAAGATTACCTCATTACTCATCCTTTGGCTGTGGATTCTGGGCCTTTACGGGATTTGATTGAATTTCCTCCAGATGATATTGAAGTTGTTTATAGTCCTCGGGACTGCAGAACACTTGTTTCAGCTGTACCTGAAGAAAGGTAAGGAGACATTGACCTGTTTTTGGCTTTACAGTAACTATAGAAAGGCTACCTTTCATTATTTTATTTAGAGCCTATTTCTTATAGCATCATCATTTCCTGTTACTCGAACAATTGTAGCAACAAAATTAATGAACATCATTGCTATCCTGTCTAAGTTGTAAATATATGTTCTTTTTTAAAATAGTGAAATGGATCCACATGTTAGAGACTGTATAAGAAGTTACACAGAAGACTGGGCAATTGTCATCAGAAAGTAAGTTATATATTTATTACAACATTACAAATGCTGAGTAAGATTTGTAAATGGATTAAGGCAGATTGTATTAATTATGAGACATGAAAATTTATTTAAACAAAATAGCTGAAGAAACAAAAGAAGAATCTTTGTATATAGATATTTACTCCTTAGGAATTATGCAGTTATTTTTACTTACTTTCTTTATAAAATATAATTCATGGGAAAATAGTATTTTTATATTATTACAAATCATTAAGAACTAACAGTGTATAATAATGATTTTGTAGCCTAATTCTTTTAGGAAATAATGGGTGGATATTAATGAATAATTTGTATTTCTCAAAAAGAATGCAGTTTACTGAAACTTAAATAGCTAAGCTAAAATTAATAGGCCATTTTACAGACCAAGCTATTTAAAAGGCCTCTGCTGTTTCTAGCTAATATTTATAGGTCTTTGACCTCTACATCCAATCAGGTAAATATTTGTAAAAAGTAATGTTTTATTCTAGCCAAAATTTATTTTCCTAATAAACTGTGGAATAATAAGTCATATTAAGAGGTCCAGGCTGGGCGTGGTGGCTCACACCTATAATCCCAGCACTTTGGGAGGCTGAGGCAGGCGGATCACCTGAGATCAGGAGTTCTAGACCAGCCTTGCCAATATGGTGAAACCCTACTGAAAATACAAAAATTAGCTGCACGTGGTGGTATGTGCCTGTAATCCCAGCTACTTGGGAGGCTGAGGCAGAAGAATCACTTGAACCTGGGAGGCGGAGGTTGCAGTGAGCCAAGATGGCCCCACTGCACTCCAGCCTGGGTAGCAGAGCGAGACTCCATCTCAAAAAATAAAAGAAGTACAATAAAAGTAATGAAATTAATTTATACAATAATCCTTTGCTAATTTGCATAATGGAGAAGGGTCTTCATACCGAAGCTTCTTAACATTATTTTTCTAAAGCAGATGTGATTGAAGTAGTGGAGAATTCTATTATGACATTATAGTTTTACACATGAAATAATCTATGCAAAATAGCACTACCAAGAGTGATATATCTATTGCTTATTGTTTTGCCCTCATGGCTGCTGTCTTATTTCACTAAGCTTAACATAGTGCTAAATATCACTCTAGGGGATAATGCTGACATGCTTTTTAGTTTCAGTGTGACCTAATAAAAGCACAGTCTGCTGCCCTTTATATAGAAGAGCTGTTTTTATGAACTTACAGTTTTGATAAGTATTTTGCTAGCCAGATTTTAGACATTACTGAAGAATACTGTTCCTCTGTCAGATAATTCAAAAGTCTTTACCTCTGAGCATATATGTTAGAAACCTATAATCAGAAATCTTAATAAAAAGGTTAGTTGTAAAATATATTGACCTCAGAATTGTGGAAATCTCCTACTTAATTCTAAGGATAGGGTTGTTAACCTTGGTTTAGGCAAGAAGATAAGAGAATTAACATTTATGGGTTTATTATGTTCTGGGCATTTTACTGGGCACTTTGCACTCATCTCATTTAAGGTTTTAACAGATAAGGTAGCTCAGGCTCAGAGTAGTTAAGTAACTTCTTTGAGAGCCTACAAACCAATAAATAAGGTAATCAGGATGGGAACATAGGAGCATCAGATTCTAAAGCTCTTATTTTTTTCTGTTATACTAGATATTGTACATTATATGCACTAGTAAGTGGAAGACTAAAGGGAGTACTTTTGGTGAACTAGAAGTTATGAGGTATCTCTGAAAGAAAAAAGATAGATGTGATTGGAGTGTAAAAGAAAACCGTAGTCCAGAATAATCTAAGAAGATATATACAAGAGCTTCAGTAGTGCCTTAAGCTCAGAACCAGTAAATACAGGCAGTGGAAAGGGAGACTTGGTAAATATTGGACATGCGGTTACTTTGAAACCTCTTCTACCGTGTGTGCACAGTGGCAGCAGAGATATCTGATTTTTTTTTTTTTTTTTGGAACAGTAATTGTGGAGGCTTAGGCTAATAGGTTAGTGCCCAGGGTGAGCACACCTTGGAGGAAGAAGGAATCCTCATACCCAGAAGACTAGGTACTGGCAGACTTTGCCTGGTGGCGTGATCTGCCGTTTCCCCACAACCACTGGATATCGGCTGGGATAAGCAGATACAGTAGTTTAAGACAGATGAGGGGGATACAAATTAAAAAATTAAGATAGAACCCCAAATTGCCAAGTATTTGTTTTAAGCCAATACACTTGAAAGAGAGTTATCCAACTACAAATAAAAGTACTAATAATTTAGGAAATAGTTAATAGAACACAGAGTAAGACCTTTAAGTGTAATGAGTATACTTATGTACATGAGAATAATGTACATGAGAATGGTGAAAGGATATTTTAACCATATAAAAATCAATTAGTTATCTTTGGAAATTAAAATTTTGATTAGTGAAGAAATCTTACAAACTCAGCAGATGGGCTTAATGGCGGTATGGATGTTGCTGAAAAGTGAAATAGCTGTAAGATGAAGCCACAAAATTCTTCCATGATTTAGCACAGAATGGTAAAGGGACATGAAAGCACTTCACTTATTTATTTGTTCAGTAGATGTTTATTGAGAGACTCATATGTACCAGGCACTATACTGAAGACTGATGATACAGCAGTGAACAAAACCAACTCTCTTCCCATATTCTAGTGGGAGATGAGATTGTCAATAGACAATAAACTAACACAGATAAATATGGAACAGATAATGATCTAGGCGAGTCAAGTGGAGAAAAACGTAGGGTGAAGTGGATAGAGAGGGCCAAGAAGAGGGACAAATATTTCTATTTTATAATTTGTTTTGGTTTCTATTTAGTTATTTACTTGGGACAGGGTCTCTGTTGCCTTCGCTAGAGTGCAGTAGGACAGTCATACTGCATCGTAACCTTAAATTCCTGGCCTCAAGCCATCCTTCTACCTCACCCTCCCCAAGTGTTGGGATTACAGATGTGAGCCACCATGCTCAGCCTTTTGTTTTATATAATTAATCAGAGGAAGCCTTACTGATAGGTGATTTTGAGTAGAGACCTGAAGGAAGTGAGCCCTGTGAATATCTGGGGGAAGAATGTTATTAGGCAGAGGAAAGAGCAATACACGCAAAGGCTTCATATTGAAAGCATGCTAGGAATGTTCAAGGAACAGACAGTAAAGAGGACAGTGTGGCTGGAACAGTAAGTGAGAGTGATAATGCCAAGAAACGAGTCAGAAAAATGGTGATGCGTGTGTGGTTGGATGAGTAATTATTAGAGCCTTATCATAGCGACTGACTAGAGGACAGGATGATAATATAGAAGAGAGTATTGACCATGAATCATGAATCATTCTTTGCTTTCTTGAATTTCATATTGTCAATTTTTTAGGATATATTTCAATAGCATTCTGATTTATCAGAGCAGCTTACGTGTGGAGCTTTACAAATTAAGGCATTTGAAACATTCCATTGAAAATTAAGATATCTGCTTCTAAGTAATAGCTTTCATGTTATACTATATTAAGTGTCTTTAGTTCTTTCAGAGAAAAATACTTTCTTTTGCGATTATGCTGTAATGGTTAATACCATGTAATTGCTATTTTTATAGCTTTAGCAACAAGACTGGATGTGAGTAATTCATATCAAATGTGATTCTTTACTATCTCATGAATTGGGTGATAGCAAGAACCATACCATCTTCTTGTGAACATTATTGTTTTGCTTCAACTAAAATACTCCTTCAGTGTTGAATCCTGAACGATAATTGCTCTTTGATCAGCTTATATTTGATGTTCTTGGGTATTAGGTTGTTACTGGATTGTTAAGAAAGAAGGGTCCACTAATTTAAGAGTTGTTTTTAGCTAACTGTGTGTATATATGTAATGTTAATTAAGTAATATGCATATGTACACAGTGATGGTGTAGATTTTGCTGTTTTTCATTTTACAAGTCTGTGGCTTTAAGTTAAGATCTTTTATAGATAATGAGATGTAGCAAAAAATTTATTGGCTATTTGAAATTTTAAGATTCAGTACTTTGTATACATATATGTATATAATTTTTTTTTTTTTTTTTTTTTTTTGAGATGGAGTCTCACTCTGTTACCCAGGCTGGAGTGCAGTGGTGTGATCTCGGCTCACTGCAACCTCCGCCTTCTGGGTTCAAGCAATTCTGTTGCCTCAGCCTCCTGAGTAGCTGGGATTACAGGCACGCGCTACCATGCCCAGCTTATTTTTTGTATTTTTAGTAGAGACGGGGTTTCACCATGTTGACCAGGATGGTCTCGATCTCTTGACCTTGTGATCCACCTGCCTCAGCCTCCCAAAGTGCTGGGATTACAGGTGTGAGCCACCGCGCCTGGCCCTATTTTATGTTATTCTTAATTCAATGTGTATTTTCTATTTTCTCATTTTATTCTTTAACCCTGGTTATTAGCTTCCCAGGCTTTCTTTTTACTGACCAATTCTTTGAATTGGAAGTGCAGCTTAATTTGTATACACATGATTGTCATGGAAAGAAGGAAAATATATTTGCTTTTGGAAACTCATACTCCTTAGTTATGTTAAGGAACACAGAATGGAAATTTTCTTTAACTTAAATTGCTAGAATAGATTCTTACTATTTGAATAATGCAGAGAACACTTGGCTTATTTACATAATGATGCCCAAAAAGTGAAAAAATTCCAGAGTTTTATAGTTGATATTTATTTAACTTTTTTTCTTTAATAGATATCATAAATTGGGAACAGGATTTAATCCCAATACATTAGATAAACAGAAAGAAAGGCAAAAAGGTTTACCAAAACAGGTCTTTGAATCTGATGAAGCTCCAGATGGCAACAACTACCAGGATGACCAAGTAATACTTTTATTCTTAAATAACTATCAGAAGTTATTTTAAAATAGTTAATTTATTTGTTAATTAATATATTCATATTTAATGTTTTGCATGACAGGATGATCTTAAAAGACGTTCAATGTCAATAGATGATACCCCAAGGGGTAGCTGGGCCTGTAGTATCTTTGACTTGAAAAATTCACTTCCTGATGCTTTGCTTCCCAATTTACTTGATCGAACTCCAAATGAAGAAATAGACCGTCAGAATGATGACCAAAGGAAATCAAACCGTCACAAAGAACTTTTTGCTTTGCATCCATCACCAGATGAGGTATAGATGTTTGCATATAAAGAAGCAGATGATTATTAAAATCGATCTTTTGGGATTATGATTAGTATATAGTATTTATTACAATAATGTAGAGGATATAGCAACTGAAACATAGCTGTAATTTTTATAAATGAATACATTTTATACTAGTGAATTTATTTTTATTTTATCTTATTTTTTGAGACCAAGTTTCACTCATGTTGGCCAGGCTGGTGTGCAATGGCATGATCTAGGCCTACGTCAGCCTCTGCCTCCTGGGTTCAAGTGATTCTCCTGCCTCAGCCTCCCAAGTTTCTGGGATTACAGGCATGCACCACCATGCCCAGCTAATTTTGTGTTTTTAGTGGGAACACGGTTTCTCCATGTTGGTCAGGCTAGTCTCGAACTCCCAACCTCAGATGATCTGCCCACCTTGGCCTCCCAAAGTGCTGGGATTACAGGCATGAGCCACCGTGCTTGGTCAGAGTAACTTCTGTCTGTAAATAGGTCATTCTTTTCTGTGTTCTGTTGTGCAGATTAAAAGTATTAGATTAGTAAAGTAAGTTCCTAAAAAAATAAAATGAAACGGCTGGAATATGAGAAGCCTATTCATTTTGGTGTTGCTTGTCAATTTGTAGGAAGAACCAATAGAACGGCTTAGTGTTCCTGACGTACCCAAAGAACATTTTGGTCAAAGACTTCTTGTAAAATGCTTATCGCTCAAGTGAGTATTTATGTCTTTTACTTACAACTTTTATTTTCCTGGGCAAGATTTTAGTACTGGTGTAACAAAATCTGAGTAGATTTTATAGTTGCATTTGTGTCCTTTTGAGAAATATTGTTCTGTATATCATTTTAAATGCTATTCAGCATTCAAACGTATATACGAAGCTGAGCCTACTGTGCTAAGCCTAACATATATGTGAAGCTAAGCCTACCGTGTAACAAACATAAAGTCAGCTTTTAAATTTGGTATGTCATTTTAAGTGCTATTCTGTATTCAAACCTATGTATGAAGCTAATCCTACTGTTCTAAGCCTAACATATATATGAAGCTAAGCCTGCTGTGTAACAAATATAAAATCAACAAGTTGTTTTTACAGTAGGCTTTGCTTTTTGAGGATTTTGAAATCTGTATTTTTTTCCTTCTTTAAAAAAGTTAGATCTGGGCCGGGTGTGGTGGCTCAAGCCTGTAATCCCAGCACTTTGGGAGGCCGAGGCGGGTGGATCACGAGGTCAAGAGATCGAGACCATCCTGGTCAACATGGTGAAACCCTGTCTCTACTAAAAATACAAAAAATTAGCTGGGCATGGTGGTGCGTGCCTGTAATCCCAGCTACTCAGGAGGCTGAGGCAGGAGAATTGCCTGAACCCAGGAGACGGAGGTTGCGGTGAGCCGAGATCGCGCCATTGCACTCCAGCCTGGGTAACATGAGTGAAACTCCGTCTCAAAAAAAAAAAAAAAAAAAAGTTAGATCTGATTTCTGCTAACATCATTGAGGTGATATATCTTATGTTTACATTCTGCTTTACAAAGTACTTTTCCTTGTTTTATCCTGTCTTCAGAGTAATTCTCTGAAGACAGATAGGCTTTGATTTTTGAAGATTTTGAAATACATATTTTTATTTTCTTTAAAAAAGTTAGATCTGACTTCTGCTAATATCATTGAGGTGATATATCTTATATTCTGCTTTACAAAGTGCTTTTTCTTATTTCATGCTATCTTCAGAGTAATACTATAAGGCAGATAACTATTTTGTTAATTTTACAAATGAGGAAACCATGATTAAAAAAGATTAGTAGAGACTGATATGCTCATTATTATGTTACTGAAAAACAAACTCGGTGCTCTTTTTGTTATGTCATATTAATATTAGAAGTTTAAGTATTAGTTCTGACTTAAGAAAAAAGAAGTTTCAATTCATAGAGCTTTCTGAAGAAGCAACTCATAGGGACATGTCTATATATAATTCTGGCAATTTCTTTCCTTGAAAGGCTGTGTATTTAGTTAGATTTATTCAGAAACATGTTAGATAGATGAAGTATATTGAATCTTTTGAATAACAGGACACCTAAAATCAGTTCTTATAATCTTATTTTGTTTTTTAACAGCTTTATTGTGATCTAATTTCTATATAATAAAATTAACCCTTTTAAAGTATACGAGTTAGTGGTGTATAGTCACAGAGTTGCACAGCTGTCATTACTATTTAACTTGAGAACATACTCGTTACCCCATAAAGAAACTCTGTACCTGTATTAGTCTGCTCAGGCTGCTATGAAAAAATACCATAGCCTGAGTAGCTGAAACAATAGAAATTTATTTCTCACAGTTGTAGAGGCTGAAAGTCAAAGATCAGGGTGCCAGTGGTTTGGTTTCTGATGAGGCATCTCTCCCTGGCTTGCAGATGGCTGCTGCTTGCTGTGTTCTTACATGACTTTTCATCTGTGTGTGCAGAGAGAGAGAGGTCTCTGGTATTTCTTCCTCTTCTCAAATGGATACCATTTCCATGGGATTAGTGCCTCACTCTTAGGACCTCATTTAACCTTAATAAGCGCTTAAAGGGCCGGGTGCGGTGGCTCAAGCCTATAATCCCAGCACTTTGGGAGGCCGAGGCGGGTGGATCA